CACCCTGGCCAGGCCGCCTTCCAGGGCCTGTTCCTGCTCTATAACCTGGGTGAGTCGGGGCCCCCGCGGCGGGACAGGACGCGGAGGTGGGTTCCCTGTATGTGGACAGTGGATGCCGGGAAGGAAAGAGAAGCTTTCAAATCTCACCCTTAGCCCCCCCCCCCCCCCCCCCCCCCCCCCCCCCTGTGTCAAGTCAGAGCACGAGATCCACCAACCAAGACATTTAGATCCTTTCTGTGGATGGAGGGTGCATTCTGATAAGTAATATTCTGTTTAAATGTAATAAAATGCTGTTGACTTCACCACCCACTAATGGCTCACAAGCCTCAGCTTACAAAAGCGGCCAAAGGTCCCAGGTGTCTGATTCTTGGAAGGGAAGCAGGGGCAGTATCTCCTCAAAGAAATGGCCTTGCCAAAGGGACAGGGAAGATGGTGCCGAGCCGGTGCCCTGATCTGTGGGGCAGGTGGGGCAGTGGGGAAAGAACTGGGTTTCAAGTCAGAAAACTGGGATTTGATTGCTCTGGTCCTACTACATACGAACTGTAGGACAGTTCAAGTCTCAGGCAAGTTGTTAAATTATCTGGGCCTTTCCCCCTCATCCATAAACACTGCTTCACTTTATTATAATGCTCCAAACTGTTTGAAGGGGCAACCTCAGTCAGATAGGGCTCAGGAAGGGCTGATGGGAAAGGTGAAGGTGCGCTTGGCCTAGGGGAGGGGCGTGGCCAGGTGGGTTGGTAGCAGGACTGAGTGGGGAGGTGGGCTTGGTGGAGGACTGGAGCCCCTGGGGGCTCAGGTGGGTGGGGGAGGCAGAAGCGGATGGGATGAAAGCTGGGCCTGGTCCTGGCAGACTCGTGTGGTCCTCATCCCAGCTTTCTGCCCTCACAGGCTCAGTGGAGGCCCTTCACAGTGTTCTGCAGCTGCCAACTGCGCTGCGCTCCTGCCCAGCCCTACGCACGGCCCTGGCTGTGGACGCAGCCTTCCGGGAAGGCAATGCTGCCCGCCTGTTCCGCCTGCTCCGGACCCTGCCATACCTGCAGAGCTGCGCCGTGCAGTGCCACGTGGGCCATGCCCGCCGCAGAGCCCTGGCCTGCCTCAATCGTGCCCTGAGCACCCCCAAGGGCCAGACCTTACCCCTGGGATACATGGTCCACCTGCTGGCCCTGGATGGGCCCGAGGAGGCACGGGACCTGTGCCAGGCCCATGGACTGCCCTTGGTTGGACAGGACAGAGTTGTGTTCCAGAGGGGTCACTACGCTGAGGAGGGGCTGCCGCCCGCGGGGACCTGCAAAGTGTTGGTGGGAAGCAAGCTTGGAGGGCGCTCCCTGGAGGAAGTAGTCATGGCGGAGGAGGAAGAGGTGGGTGGGGACAGGTCCAAGCCCCGTGAGTAAGGAGATACTGTGCAGTCTCCCAGAGCCCAGGACCGGGTCTGAGCACTCAGGCCCCTTTTCTCATGATTCCACACAATAAAAGGAACTTGTTTTGTAAGGACAATAGCTAGGCTTGATTTATTTGGGGAAGGGCAGGAAGGAGTTGAGAAATGTGAGGTATGAGGGTGGAGGAACCCAGAGTGGGCAAGGCCCTATTTGCCCTGGGCCTCAGTCTCCCTGCTGGTCCCTGAGTAGCCCTGGTGGACTCGGAGCTGGCATCTCAGGTTGGCATGCATACTATCCTCACCCACCCACCACCAAGAGCAACTGAGGGTTTTGCCATTCCCACCATCCCTGCCTCCTTTTCTCTACCCTCTCAACCAAGAGCCAGGATGAGGGAGATTCATTCAGGGCTTGTCACTCCCCTCAGGTGACCACAACTGGTAGGGCCCTGAGCTGTTGCCCCAGAAGCTGGAAAGGATCCCATAGTGTGACCTCCCTTGGCATCAGGGAAGACTGAGACACCCAAAGAAAACGAGTGGGGAGAGGATTCAGATAAAGGGGGGGTAGTGGTGAGTGGAGGAAGGAGGGCTAGGGTCAGAGGTCAGCCACGGGCCTCAGGGTGGCTGCTGCACCCTCCAGGGCCGCCACCACAATGCTGAGCTGCCTGTGCACCTCATCCCAGGCCGCAGATCCTGGGTCTGTGTCGATGGCCCTGAAACAGGCATTGGCCAGGCCTGGGAATGTATCCATGAAGCTCTTATGAGGAGCCCAGAGCACGTGGCTACCAGGAGAAATAGGGAGCATCAGGGTTATTTGCTTCAGCCTGGAATGGGCTCAGCTCCTGGACAGAGCCAGGCACAAAAGCACCTCCCACTGCCTCTAAAAGCTGTGGCTCTTACTGGTAGCAGAGGTAAATTCTAGTCCCAGCGTGACCGTGACTGATTTGCATCCCTTCCTTTGAGCCTGATTCCCTTAAAGGCCAGTGAAATGCTGGCATTCTCCTCCCTCGGTGCCCATTACCCAGCCTCACCCCACTGCACCTCCCAGGAGCTTTGGGACAGGCTCACCTATAGTAGCGTTCCTCTGGGAAGGCTCGAGGGTTCAGGAAGGCCCGTTCCAGGAGCATCAACTGGTCATTGAGCATCCGTACCTGCAGGGGGCTGGAGGTGGCAGGACTTGCTGGTCACTCTGGAGCCAGCAGCCCAGCTGCCAGCCTGCATCTTGCCCTGGATGCCGCGCTCCCAGGCACCTGCTTGCTGCCCTTGCTCACTCGAAGGTGCCCTTCTGCAGCGCTGATATGCGTTGGCCCAAGGCCACAGCTGCCCCCTCAAACTTCTCCACTGCAGTCACCAGAGGCCCTGTGGGGACAGCCAGCATCTTAGCCCGGGGAGTTCAGGCTTCCCTGTGCCTCCTGTCAGGGGGCCTTCGTACCCAGGCTGATGCTGTGCTTCTCCAGCAGGGGCTCCAAGTACAGCTGGGCATCCTGCAAAAAGCTTCGGAGGGTCTCACTGTAGTCACTGACGTTGAGAGGCAGGAAAAGGCTGTCACTGAGCCGAAGAAGCACGTTCCCCGCCGTCCTGGCCACGGCCCGGTGGCTGCTGAAGCCTGCAGAGAGGGCGACGAGGCCAGGGCTCAGTCGTCAGCCCGTCCTCCTCCAGCCTCAGGATGCTCTTGACCCCGTCCTCACCGGGGTCCACAAACGTGTCCACGTAACCAAAGGTGTCGAAAGCTGTGTGGTAGGTGGGGTAGGTCCGGGCTGAGGTCTTGCTCTGGAGAAACAAAGTCCAGAGGTGACAGGCTTGAGATGGGCAGTGGGAGGAGGTGTGCCTACAGTGAGCTACAATGTAGAGACATTCCCTGAAACCATTGCCCCATCCATGAGGTAGTTCCTAGAATTCCCACTTTATAGAAGAAGAAACTCATGCTCAGAGAGGTTAAGTAACCTGCCTGATATCACACAGCTAATAAGTGGCAGGGCTGGGTCAGGTGCCAGTTTCCTGTTTCACATGAAGAAGAGCCCAGAGCTTTGGAGTCGGACAGGATTTAAATCTACCTTCACTACCCAGGAACAGGAAGGGAGAGACTTTTGGAGACACAGGCTGGGTATTATATACCCCTATCTCATTCACTCTCACACCAATGCATTTAATCTATTCTGAGATAAACTTTTTTTCCTATTTTAAAGATTCTGGAATCAAGATGCTTATAGTCAGTGTTATTCTACGCTTAATTGGCAGTGCAGTTTCCCCCCTCCTGAAGAGTGCATATCATGTGCATCTTACAGTCAATAGCATCTTAAATTTGATGTTAGATGAGCCTAAGCAGATTCTCAGAGAAGAAAGTTGGGCGAGGTAGCACAGCTACTGAGTGATGGAGCCCATTCAGACTGCTCTAGAGAAGGCAGGAGAGGCGGGGCTGGCGAGTGGAGCAAAGTACAGAGCTGGGAGACGGAGCGGTGCGGCTCACCTGGTCATAGGTGTAGGTGATGTCCAAGGAGGAGATGCCCAGGAAGTGAATGAAGGGCGCGTAGTCGCTGCCAGCACCCAGAGAGCCCACGCTGCGGGAAGGAAGATGGAGGGGCTGGAGGCTGC